AACCGAGATATTCAATTAATACTTACAGCAGTGGACGCACCGTTTTCAAACGGTTTAAACGAAAGGCTAAACCAGACTATTGTGAACAAAATAAGATGCAAAATTAATGAATTAAAAGGAAAAACAAATTGGTCAAAAATAGCAGAAGAATGTAGAAATAGGTACAACGAAACAAACCATTCTGTAACAGGATTTTCTCCTAAATATCTGCTATCTGGTGAGTCTACAGATTTATTACCACATGAATTAAAAGAAAAACAGTTATTAACAAAAAGTTTGGAAGAAGACAGGAAAATAGCACTTCAAAGGTCAATAAAATCACATGAATATAATAAAACTTTATTTACCAAGAATAGATTACAACATGAATTTAAAAAAGGAGATAAGGTATATGTCGACTATAGTAACAAATTGAATAAAAAAAATTTGGATGAAATTAGAATTAGGTCCCTTTGAAATTGAAGAAAAAATATCGGATTCAGTTTTTAAAATAAATACTGGTCGTGGCACAAGATCTATCGGTCTATATCATGTCACAAAGCTCATTCCTATGCTTGATGATTTTTAGATTTTGCACCAAAATTTTACAAAGTAGAAAGGAAAAAATAAATAAATATGTACTTATATATTTTTTCATTTCGAGGGGGGGTGATGTAAGCTTTGTGTTGACGTTGACGTTGACAGAACCATTAATATTTGGGTATGTAGGTAGGTATCAGAAAAACATTCAACCATTTTTAATAAAACTCCTTGTGAATTAGCTTAATTATAAAAGTAAAAAGGACGATTCAAATTTGAATATAAGAACAGTAAAGCATGAACATTTAATTGTCGATTCTCTGTTTTAGGTTAGTNATATTTGGGTATGTAGGTAGGTATCAGAAAAACATTCAACCATTTTTAATAAAACTCCTTGTGAATTAGCTTAATTATAAAAGTAAAAAGGACGATTCAAATTTGAATATAAGAACAGTAAAGCATGAACATTTAATTGTCGATTCTCTGTTTTAGGTTAGTACATAGTTATTTCATTAGTTGATATTTGTTAAGTAAAAGTTGAACTGTATTTAATAAATAAAACTCTGTTTTAGATGAATCACATAGTGTTTTTGTTTTAAGAAGAAAGATAATAGATAATCTTATATGTATGTACTCCGAAAAAAAATTACATCAGTAATAGTCATCATAGTAAACAGTGGTAGAGCGTATTGTGAGTCTGCATCGGTCGGTAGCTTCCTGCCTACTAATACCGAAGAAGCAGTAATGTCTTCTGGTTTGAGAGGTAGGACAAGCCCTGTACGATACAATAGTGACTTTAATCTCATGACCCAAAGCGAAGATTCCATTCGCGTTCTAGTCATATTTATGGACTCTGGTGACCACCTAACACCGGGTGGATCGTGAGCTCCTACTTGCAACAAAAAAAACCTACCCTTAGTTTCTGCTCTTCATTTGCTATTTACAAATATTATTATACATTACACTACAACATGTAAGTTATATTATAAGACATTCTAAATCAATCCATAGAACAACTGCTTCAATGTACAAATTGAAACCAACTAAATGTATTTAGTACTTTCAGTTAAATATTACAGAAGCGGCGTACAGTTAAAATTAGATATGCCGTCTTGGCAATAAATAAAACTAAGACAATTCAAATGAAGCAACCACATTATTTTAAAATAGAATAGCTAAGAGACTAATATTTTCGTAACAAAACGAGCATTGCTCCGCGGTTTGATTTAATTTAATAAGAAAATGTACCTACCCAATATTTTTTATTTGTATTACATGCCCAATAGTCCGTATTATACTTATGTATATAAACACAAACTTATGCACAATTCCGTGTTTACAAAGAAGTATGAGAAATGCGTCGGCGCTAGTTGGCATTGTTAAAATTTTAAGTACACAATTCACATTTCGAACATTGTAGTCAACGCGCGAATATTTAATTTTCCCAGCATTGTAATATGGTATAGTAATCCGTACCTTAGCGCAAATATTGTAAAATATTGGTAATACTGATTTGTGAACATAAATAAAGCGTTGCGCTATCGGCTTTGACCTTAGACCGTGGTGATGACACGCGGGCCTTTCGAAAGTTATTTTAAGTGTAAATATTTTACAATTTTAAATGAGATACCCGAGAGACTGCAGAATCTGTTTTATTTTTAATACGCTTTTATTAGCTTCGGACGTATGTATGTATGTTAGTATGTAACGGAATCTTTGAATATGATTTTGATCCACCTTCAAAACGTCTGATTAACTCGAAATTTGGCATACTTATTAAAGACCGATAACAATTCAAACTAGAATTCAAACTATTCAACTAGACATTCAACTATTCAAAATAGAAAATAATTTTTAATAATTATGAATTAAAAATAGTGTAAGAAAAAATTATTTTATTGTAAAAAAGCGTCTAGTTTTTTAATTGGATTTTCTATAAAAGCGAATTTTTTTTTTGTTTTTTACACTATTATTTATTATTTACGTTTCAGAAGGAGTGGAAAGGAGTCTATAGTTTTGTGTGCCTGTAAAACAGAACATCTATCTAACATAAACTAGGTCCCCTAAGTGTTTCAAGTCTCTATCTACCGTATACCGGTTTGGGGACCGGTGAGGCAGACCCAAGAAGTCAACGTGTTAGCTGTTGTACACGTGTCTTGTGTAAGAACTGCCGGGTGACGTATAGCACCCTGACCCAGGCTGGTTCCAAATCAACGGGGTATTGGGGGGGACGAACTGGCGACTCTGTCTAGGCGGGCTTCTGATAGCCTCCGCTTGAGAGGACCGGGAATTGTGGCGCCGAAGACGGATGGTTCAATTATAAAAGCACCATAAATTATAAATATCAAAAAATATATCATAATAATTCAATCGGTTTGAATAACTACATACTATTATAAGGTATACATAGATCAATGCGAGCTTGTCGAATATTTTTTGTTTTGTTTTTATGATGTGATTTGACTCATAACTTCGCACGTCAAGTTAATGTTCAAATGCAAGAAAATTGCTTATTTTTTGTACGGTCTCCATAATTAATTAATTACCTTTAACATCTTAAATTTTTTGCCAATAACATATAAAATAAATATATTCTAGCTTCGTTAAAATAAATATCTATATATTAATACGTGAAGCAAAAACTGTGCATCCCTTTTTACGAAAATTGCGCGGACAGAGGAGTATGAAATTTCCCACACTTTAGAAAATATAGAGAAGGAGTGCGCAATGCTAATATTTTTTAAAATAATGCATAAAAAATACATTAAACCAATAAAGAAAACATTACGCACACTAACATGTATTTTACACACACACACGCATACCTACTATTTTGTTTATTGTTAAAGTCTGAGGTCAAGTTGAGAATAGATTAATAATTTTTTTCTTTCATATTATTTGTCTATGGTGTAGCGAAATCTGTGATTATAGAAGTAAAGTCTTTGACAATAGAACCATAATAATGTTCAAACTTATAATTTAAATTAATAATTATAGTCGAGTTTCGACTACCGAGCGACCACTAGTTTTAACAAAAACACTAAATAATTATTTCCTTCCTATTGGTCATGTGCAACAATTCCTTTTCTAATCTGACTTATGACTGTATTAAAGATCAAAGTTGCAAACGAAGATTTATGATTGTCGACCGCCTCAACAGCTAACCTAATCACAAATCTACCTGGGTTCCTTGATTACAACCCTACATGCTTCTACTGGGAAGCAGTAACTCAATTCGATTTATAGATACAGAACGGACAGACATTATACTATAAAATTGAGACTTAGACGTCTTGACTGCGGTTACCAATTAGCATCGTGGGCCGTGAGCAAGTTCACCGTCTACCTAATAAGTAATAGAAATAGTCTAATTAATGGCAACTAGACAGATGATATTATGAAGAAATCAATTCAATGGTATAGAATCATTACTTTTTTTTTTATTGCTTAGGTAGTTGGACGAGCTCACGGCCCACCTGGTGTTAAGTGGTTACCGGAGCCCATAGACATCTATAACGTAAATGCTCCACCCACCTTGAGACTTGAATTCTATGGTCTCACTTTTAACTGTACAACAGATGTCCCGCCTTTCAAACCGAAACGCATTACTGCTTCACGGCAGAAATAGGCAGGGTGGTGGTACCTACCCATGGGGACTCACAAGACGTCCTACCGCCAGTAAGCAAACCCACAAATAATAAATTAAATTACAAGAAAGGTGCCTACTACTTAAATTGCTAGCGGCACTGACGGTCGCCAACCGTGAACAAAAAGGCAGTGGCCTCAAACCGAGATACTCAAACTCATTATACAGTGCTATGAGATGATTGATAACTATTAAAATATATCTCTGTCCGTATTATATTACTCCAAAAAATTTCGAAAAGTTTTTGACTCATATTTGAAAGCGGTTCTAAAAAAAAATACTAGCATCGAAACCGCTGCTTGAAGCAAAAAAAAATACGATAAAATAATACCTATGGACGGTGAATTTAATTGTTATTACTATAATAAAATTTTAAACATAGATTTATTTATAGATGGAGCGATTAAATCATTTCTGCTGCAGTTATGATATAAGTTTTATTCGTTTTTAAGATCCAACTAATGTTTTCAATAAATTGCAGGTCGTTGTCAATGGCTATTTTAATTAAAGCCAAGGTCAACAGTACTAGTTTTTGTTTTATTATTATTAACTTACATGTAATGAACATGTTTTCCTATGAAAAGTACAAAATAATGAGACTTTTGAAAGAGACTGCACATTGAAACTAGCGTTATACAGTTAAACATATGTATTGTAAATTTTGTAATATCATTATTCCTTTGTTGGCTATTTGTTTTATTAGATCTCGACACAACCGACATCATTTATTGATTGTGAAATAAATATCATTATTAAAATATTATATTAAATTAAAACTATAGATTCTTCGAACCTTCCAACGGTTGAATACCCAAGACGAAATAATTTTTCTTACCTTGCTTATTGATATCCCACAGGACAATGGTGCAGCCGAGTCGTGCCAGCCTCAAGGCTATAAGACTGCCTAAGCCTCCGCCGCCTCCAGTAACAACCGCCACGCCTCCTTTGAGATCTCTCTTAGGATACCCAACTATAGTCCTGTATATCGCTTGTATAACATATCCCACACCGACGATGACAAACACTATAACGTCTATAATTGATTGCACGACGGTATATTTGTCCCTCATACACTCCGGGATCTCCCGTGTGAGAGGTCCCGGTCTCATCCCGTTTATATACTCTTGGGTTTGTTCAGACATTTTTTTGTTTATTTGTGATACTTGCTTATGTTTCTGGTTACTTTACATCACTTTATACACACCGGATTCGAATGGACCTTTTTTGTCGTGTACCTGGAAATAATAAAAAAGTATATTAGTAACAAAACATACATGTGTATATATTCAAAGAGTGTGATAGGAGCATTATATAAAGATCGCAATTAACGTGTAATTTAAGAATAAATATTCCGTTATAGAAGTTGAGATTTAAATATCTATAAGTATCTAAAGTAGTTTTATGTATGAAATATAATAAATACACTGTGGTAAACAATTAAACAGATGTCTTTTCTTTTATCACACGTCTGTATTACTTAAAGAATGGGATTTTCATTATTTAGAACATTTACAATGTAGTTAGATACTCATGGATAATATTCGCCATTAATCCTCCATAATTTAAATTTCAAAGTTCTAGGTCCGTTTGCTTACAGTGTATCGTACTATTTCAAAGACATATCATGTGTTACGCGGTGAGCGGCTTTGTAATTTATAAAAAAATCTTTATTTTAATACACACTGAATTTTTTTATCCTTTACAAGAATGTTATACGAACAGAGTTAGGACGTTGTAAGCTTGAATATTGATGTGGAACTGCTGAGTTTCAAGGAAAAAGAAAATATACACGAAGAGTATTTACTATACAATTAATAAATGAGTCATTCAGACTATGAACCTAACATATTTAGAATCTCAAAACAACACAATTAGTAAATGATGTAGTAAATAGGGCATTACTACTCGTAATATGAGAGGAATACATATTAACAAATGTTCTAATTAGAAATTAAAATTTGATATAAGGCAAACAATATACGAATGATTATGTAACAATCCAAGCAGGGCAATCTTGAAAATTTAAAGTGCAATTTTTATAACATACTAAGAAAATTACAAACAAAAAAGAAGATTGCAAAGTTGTTTAGAAACATGAATATATTTAAAAAAAAAATAAGGTGACAATTCCCAAGATCATCTCTGTTATTTCCTAGCATTTATTGGACAGCGCTGTATATTAACTTTAATGTTCTTAATAAAAATTCGAAAACTGTGTGGCATAAATTTTTCGTCAATATTTTTACTGTACTAGTTTTAGTGATTAACAGTCACTGAATCTCTCCTTAGCGGCTGGACCGGTTTCAATTAATGTTATTGTGTTTGTTTTGATATGTTAATAGATCGTTTTAATAGTTTAGATTTACAACTGGAGGCCGTAGGTGGCGCTGCAAGCTGGTGCATTTTTTTTTTAATTTTTTTTAAATTAGGAAAGTACCATGTCCGCCGAGCCCGTTAGTTATGTATCTTACTGGCAAATCGACTTGATAAACTTGGTACGACTTTTAACATATAAAATTATAACATCGCACCAACGAACTTTGACCTAGAATTGTCTTTTGATACGTAAATTTGTGGAGATAATTTTCATTACGAATGCAACGTTGCAAATCAATTGAATCTGATAATTTTTTTTGCAAACTCTTACAGAAGTTTCAGAGTGACAATGTATTATTTAGGTAATAAAACCAGATAATATCACATGAGTTGGTAATGTTGGCCTGGGACCTTGCATGATATCATTCTATTTTGATAATTTAGGCTGTACGGGCTGACGAACCTTCGCACCTTGAAACATGAAGTGGACGGACAACAATCATATCACCTGCCCTTAACGGAGTCAATATATATCACAACTGAACAACGCAGTCCTCTTGAGACAATAGGTCGAAATCTGAATTGTATTGATCAATCATTCAAACCGAAATGCATTAGTTTTCCAATTCATTTGCCCATCAAAGACCTATTTAACAATTAGGTAAGAAGAAAATCATTACTACAAGCTAATAAAAAGAAGTAGTAACTAGAGGAGATCAGGACTAAAACTAGAAGAAAAAAAAGTATTCTTTTGTCTTCGAGCAGAATGTAGCACCTCAAAGAAATTGTTTATAATCGTAACAGATAAATTATAGCGGGTTCGGTCTTTCTATTTTACGCATCCACTCGTGGATCCATGGATGTTGTAATAACTAGACGGCGGCGAGTGCAACCATTGCACAAACGAAGCTCGTGTACTCCCGCCTTATATTGTGAAGGTCGATACAATATAATATGTACTTAGTTCGAACATGGTTACAGAGAACTTACAGCGTTTTTTACTGGTGGTAGGACATCTTGTGAGTCCGCACGGGTAGGTACCACCGCCCCACCTATTTCTGCCGTGAAGCAATAATGCGTTTCGGTTTGAAGGGCGGGGCAGCCGTTGTAACTATACTTGAGACCTTAGAACTTATATCTCAAAGTGGGTGGCGCATTTACGTCGTAGATGTCTATGGGCTTCGGTAACCACTTAACACCAGGTGGGCTGTGAGCTCGCCCACCCATACAGGAAAAAAAAAAGAATTCAATCCAACAAAATAAAACAAAAAAAAAAAAAAATGTCTTACGACCAATTTGTCTTTTCCAGTACAGACGATGCATTTTTATATATGGTTCGTACACTAATTTATTTCATTACGAATTGGCATGCAATGAAAAAGCACTGTATATTATTTTCAAAGGTATATTATTTTCCAAAGTAATGTACATACCGTTCATTCAATTTTATGATTATTTAAGACAGCAGAAAATCAACGGAGGCTGATTCCTTTAAAGGCCCCACGTTTGATTACCACACGACCCTGTCTGCAATGTTAGCATATAATATAAGCGAAGCTAATTACAAACGTCGCTGAAGGAGAACAAGAACCGCAAATAGCTTTGTGGTGTAATTATTGTTGCTGCTCACCTTTTACGGACAAGGCGAGTGCTATAATTGTCGCTTAGAGAAATATCGACTGTCAGATATAATCAAAATAATACTACGGAGTCTGAATTTTGATCGTGTATGCCTCTAAGAGACCACGAAAATTTGTAAAACGTTGAAATATCCGGCTATGGAATGAGCTCCCCTCCACGGTGTTTCCCGAGCGCTATGACATGTCCTTCTTCAAACGAGGCTTGTGGGGAGTATTAAGCGGTAGGCAGCGGATTGGCTCTGCCCCTGGCATTGCTGAAGTCCATTGGCGACGGTAACCACTCACCATCAGGTGGCCCGTATGCTTGTCTGCCTGCAACGGGCAATAAAAAAAATGTCTGGAATTGTAATATTATTTTTCTTTCCCAATGCAGGTTAGGATGTCGGTATCGCCTTTGTAGCGGTAGTTAACCTTGAAGACAATAAGGTAACTCGCGCTAAAGACATTTTCAAAATAAATTTAAAATATTCATTTGCCGTACAACAACAATGTTTGGACATTGTGGAAAATCTTCATCGTATTGTATCCCAAAGTCATAAATGAAATCATAAAACGTTTCTCATTTCCCGTTTGGACGATTTGAAAAGTTAATTTCATGCCTCTGATGTCGAGATTTATGTTTTACTACTACTAGCTGTATAACGCTATTTCAGCTGCCTTAAATTTTCTATTTCGGCCGCAGCTTGAAGTTATTTATTTTCGAACCATCATATAAAAAGTTTATCTAATTTTTTTTTTATTGCTTAGATGGGTGGACGACCTCACAGCCCACCTGGTGTTAAGTGGTTACTGGAGCCCATAGACATCTACAACGTAAATGCGCCACCCACCTTGAGATATAAGTTTTAGATCTCAGTATAGCTACAACGGCTGCCCCACCCTTCAAATCGAAACGCATTCCTGCTTCACGGCAGAAATAGGCAGGGTGGTGGTACCTACCCGCGCAGACTCACAAGAAATCCTACCGCCAGTAAAAATGTAGTAATGCAGACATTGGCTTAATAATCGGAGTCACACCACCTAATTGCATCTTAGGCGGTGTGATTCCGATTACAGTAAACTTAAATTAAAATTTTCCGAAGGTATACAGGCTGACTATTCTTTTTTTTTTATTGCTTAGATTCCAGAAACCTACAGATGTTTAAAAAAAAGGATTTCGATAATATTAACCAAAACTGTGATAAAATATATAAAATATTAATTGACTAGACTAGCGTTCAAATACTCAAGTTACAAATGTACATACATAAGTACCAGACATCGATTTACAAACGATTCTCATAATCAAGAAAAAGAAACAAAACCGCATAATTAATAACAATTTAACTTAGACATAACAGAGCTTGCAGTACAGTTAGCCTGCGGATAAGTGCATACTCACGCACGTGCGCACGTGCCCATGAAAACATATTATAATATCTAAATCTAATACCAATAAATATTTAAAAATTAGGTTCTACTAGGTTAGATTAGGTTTGTCGTCGTCGTGACCTAAGCGATAAGACGTCCGGTGCATTCGTGTTGAGATATGCACCGGTGTTCGAATCTCAGGCGGGTACCAACTTTTCTAATGAAATACGTACTCAACAAATGTTCACGATTGACTTCCACGGTGAAGGAATAACATCGTGTAATAAAAATCAAACCCGCAAAATTATAATTTGCGTAATTACTGGTGGTAGGACCTCTTGTGAGTCCACGCGGATAGGTACCACCACCCTGCCTATTTCTGCCGTGAAGCAGTAATGCGTTTCGGTTAGAAGGGTGAGGCAGCCGTTGTAGCTATACTGAGACCCTTAGAGCTTATATCTCAAGGTAGGTGGCGCATTTACGTTGTAGATGTCTATGGGCTCCAGTAACCACTTAACACCGGGTGGGCTGTGAGCTCGTCCACCCATACAAGCAATAAAAAAACTTACCTTTTTTTTGGTTTAAATAAAGCACCAACGTGTTGCTCCGTAAAAAAAATACATTTATTTAGTTCCCTAATTCTAAACAGAATTCTATTTCACAGAACTCTTTACTTCACTCAAAGCTATATTTTTTACACTTTCTTTACATTTTATACGCAATTATTCGTATTTACTGATTACATTATTTTTGATTGCCGTAGACGAGCATACGGCCTACTTGATGGTGAGTGACTCACGGACGTCAGCAATGCCAAAGGCAGAGCCATGCTGCTGCCTACCTTTTAATAGTAAGTAGTAATTGAGTGGATCATTCGAGAACCGGAAATATCTCTGGAAACTGGGCAATGAACACTGTGGTTAAAGGTA